TCTGCGGGTGGGCAAAGGAGGGAGTCGGCTGGTTGCTGAGTCTCTGTATCGATACTGTCGTGATCCTCTGGGTTAGCTCTGAGGGAAAGCTCGAGTTCATCGTTGTGGAGCGTCTTCTCCATGTGTGTCTGAGCCCTGTAAAGAGGACAAAAGTTTTTTGGCTTATTATAGTGAAACACAGATTTATTGAAGAGTGTGGGTTGTGCCTCTTGGAAGGTGCACGTGGTAAAATGTCATGCTGCCGAGTTGTGCTACTATGGGATGACACGTAAACTAGTTCAGTTTGACATTGTGAACCGTCATGGAGATGGTGTGCTTTTCTGAGAGTGCATTTAGAGTTAGGTGTCTATCATTAGCTAGGCAGATCTGTTAGGGCGTAGATGGGTCATCGTGAAGCCTTTCTCTGCATGTAAGGTGGCACACATTGCTAATGCAGAGACTCCCTGTGCACAGCGTGTTTCCAGACTGGTCGAGCACAGCAAACCTTTCTGTTTCAGAATTTGAGACCTATTCTCTGTGTCTCAGCTAATATAGCCAGTGCTTGTCTTGGAAGTGGCTTAAAACTTTCACAGTAAATCTGTTTCTCTGCAGTTGGTGGGATTATGTGCAAAACTCCTGCCATTTTTGTTAGATACGGTCTTTATGTTTTTAGATATATCAGTGACTTGTTATATTTCCAAGGTGGAAGTGGAAGCATAAGCAATAGTGTTAAATAGCCACCTCTTAAGATTCTCATTAGAAAAATGACACTAGTGATGAGATTTTGATTAGATTTCCCTGCTTTGAAAGTTCACGTCAATTTCATGGTGATTTACAAGGTGAAGTAGAACAGAAGATGCATAACGTTAGATTCTTTAATTTAAAATGGCCTAATAATTTAGCCATCTAAAATATTATTGGGTAACTGCCGTGCATGTTCCACTCCTATTCATATGAGAAAGCACTATGATTTAGATGGATGTGCTTGTTCCTGAGCTAAGGATAGGCATTTAAACATCTCTTTAATTTTAAAAAAATCTTTAAATTTTCCCATAATTCTGAAAATACTTTTTTTTTTTCCCAAATGGGCAGGATATTCTGTTATTAAATTAGTAATACTTAATACTTGTTTGAATGCTTCGATTTTTTTTTTTTTGCATGTGTGCCTTTACAGAAAAGGACTTTAAACCCAGTGATTTTCTGTTGGGTGGTAGTCACACTAGGGTATTGCTGTAGCACCTGTTTTACCCAGATATGTACATTGTTTCTGGCTTTCCCAGTGCTTGGCTGAGCTGTGTACATTAGTTGTGAAGCTCTGTCTGTGGCTGCAAATGCTTCCATTTGATTTCCCCTGTGCCTGGAAGTATCCTGGGTCTTGCTTTGTTTTTCGTAATTTATTTTTTTTCTGGGGAAAAAGTCTTTGTTCATGGATCATAAATTATAGCTAGCTGCTGATAAGTTCACATGTTGCCCTCAGTTCTGTCTCCCTTAGATTATCAAGTTTATTTTTTCCTTATGCCTCCAAAACTGAAAGAGCATAGTTCATCAAGTTCTGAATTTTATTTGGCCTTCAAGATGCAAACCTCTAAGAGTGTTGGGAAGGGTGATAACTTCTTATCCTTTTGCCTTTAGCACCAGAAGGGGAAACAAATCGAGTTTAAACGCCTTGAGGCTTTTGTTCGAGATTCATGGCGCAAACACCGAGACAACGTCCGGCTGAGACGCATGGAGCAGAGACCGGGACAGACAGCTGTACCTCAGGAGCATAAACTAGCCTTTGTTGTGCGGATTGTAGAGTAAGAAACTTTAGTTGCTCCTTACCTTTATTATTGCTACCGTTTGTAGCTGTCATATCCTTTCTAAGCAAAGGAAGTATGATCAACCCAGACATGTCTCCTTGCAGGTAATCTGAGGCCTTTTGTTGCTGCATTAGAGAAACATGGTTACTAATAGTTTTGGGGTTTTTTTTGTGACTCAGTATTAAGGGCGTGAGCAAGAGGGTCAGAAGAGTGATTGAGTTGCTGCGGCTGAGAAAAAATTTCACTGGAACATTTGTTAAACTGACTCCATTATCGCTGAAGATGCTGCGGATTGTGGAACCTTATGTGGCGTGGGGGTAAGTACCAGTCCTGTGACTTGACAGTAATAAATGTCATAGCTTTTTGATTCTCCATTTGGTATCACAAATCCATAGGTGGCTTTTCCAGTAATGGTTGAAACTTCATCAGCTTTATATCTAAAACTTGTTGTTGTCCTATTTGTCATTGTTCTAAACATAACTCAGTTACTTTCCTACCTCTATACAAAGAAGTAGGATGGGACTTCCCACTGTATCATGTCTCTCCATTACGGAATCTGATTTTTGTTTTTGTACAGGCACCCGAACCTGAAATCTGTACGAGAGCTCATCCTGAAACGGGGCCAAGCCAAGATTAAGAACAAGAGGATGCCTCTGACAGACAATAAGCTGATAGAGGAACATTTAGGTGAGGAAGAGGATGAAGAAATGGATCAAGGAAGGAGGCAAATGTTGGGTTTGCAATCTCACCGAAGAGGGAGGGGAGGGAGAAAAATCTTGCAAGACTTGTCTATGGAGGACTGGCAATTCTGGAGTACTGTGAAAAAAGATAATACAGTTGGCGTCTCACATATATGTTGTTTGTGGGGGGCTTTTTGTTGTTTTGTTGTGTTTTTTCATTAATTTTTTTTTTTTCCACCTGCAGGGGACTGTGGTATTATTTGCCTCGAAGACCTTATTCATGAAATCTACTCAGCGGGGAAGTATTTCAGAAAAGTCACAAACTTTCTATGGCCATTCCATCTGTCGGTGGCTCGCTATGCCTCACGTAACAAAGTGGGTTTCCTCAAGGAAATGGGTCATCCTGGCTGCAGAGGTGACGCGATCAACCAGCTTATACGTCAGCTGAACTAGTCAGGTGAGGAGAGCCTGTTGTGTAACTTCTAAATCTTACCCCTGATTCTGTCTCCTACGGATAACTGTACTGTCATCAGAGATGAGGCGGACTCCTTTGGTTTTGAATTGTCACTCTACAGAAGTGACCCTCGAGGTAGGGGAAACTACTGAAGAGTGTGGGTCCCGCTGGGTATCAGCACATCCTATTGGACACCCCCATGAAGGGTTGACTTCCAGGAGATTGCATTAATGGAACTGTTTGGTTTTGGTTTTTTTATTGTTCTGCAGGGTCATTGTGAAAACTTCAGGATTCATAACCTGTTCCTTTCACGTGTAGCTTTCATGGACATTGTCCCTATGCAATGATACAATCTCTCTCTTGACTGTTGGTGCCTCTATAAAAAAGGAAAAACTATACAGATGATGATGATGGAGGTGGATTTTGCGCTGATCCTTTTTAAAGAAGATAAATTGTATCTGACACGAGAAAGAAGTGACTTGAACTTCCTGGAGCGATCTGACTTCTGCATCTCTGTAAAACAAGTTTTTTCTCATACTCATCACTGCTGGCTCTGTACCAGTCACCTCCTGATTTCATCTTTGATGTAAAGCAGCAGTCAACAGTTCCTGATTTAAATTTCTGCTGCTTGTGATTTGCACTCGCTGCTTTTCCCCCAGAGAGGACTGGATCAGTGCTTGAAGTTGCACTCCTTGAAGTGCACCTCCTCCTAGGTGTAAAGGGCTAGTGCAGTCACTTGTTTAAGAATATTGCTGACAGGCAGAAGAAAAGGCTAGGTATTCCTCTGTTACTATTTTTTGAAGTACCTAGACTATTTATTTTAAAAAGCCATGATTTTGTGCTACTGGATTTACAAAAAGCTGCCTTTTCACTTCTGCTAGATTGGGACTGCTGGAGAGAACTATTTCCTGGTAGGAAAGCCCAGAAACTTTGTAATATAGTGCTGGAATACCTGTAATCAATGTTTTTAAAATAAACCTTTGAAATTACACTGTTGTAACAGGAAGAGTCATACATCACTTTTCTAGAGTGGGAACAGTTAAGATAGTCTGCCTGAAGTGAATTTGGTGAAAGAAATTAACAAGAACATGGAGGAGTGTGAAAGTTCTATCAACACTTAACAGTTTTAAATGCCGATTTCTTCCAGTACAAAAATGGGTGAAGGCAGCAGCAAGTCCTATTGCTATTCAACAAATATGGAAGACACTGTACCTCATCATTAGGTCACTGTGACTATTTGTACTGTTACGTTAAGACTTAACTGGGGGCAAATTGAATTATGAATGGATTTCATATTGACTCCATACCACTTGTTTTGAGACTCAGAAGAAACAGTTTAACAACATAAGTAGGATGCCTTTAGGGTATTAGTTCTATGACAGTTACAAACTAAGATGTAGCATTCATAAAGCCATCTAAAATGTAAAGTACTACAGACTCTGAATGAGAACACTATACAAGTTCAAGCTTTATTCTGTAAAACATGAATACAAACATAGAAAATGCTTGACAGACAGTAGAGACATACACCGATTTAGAAAACCACCATCCCCAGAACTAGAGTCCAGCAGTCATTAATATACAAGGCTTCATATATTTATGATTTTCCTGATAAAGAGCTGCTTTCATTGTAAAGAGGTACAAGTAACTTCAGAATGGTTCTGTTGATTTGTTTTGGGATTGTTTCTGGTAATAAAACAGCCCAGGTTTTTAACATGAAGTGGCAGGTCAGTGAGATTTTTTTTATTTTAGTGCCAGAAAGAACTTAAGGCTGCTAATAGAATGCAGTTTATAATCTTAAAATACTAAATTGCAGGATCTGAACACAATTCTAGCAATTAATCCTAGACTTAGGCAGTATTTCTAGCGAATGCGGTAGTTTAACACACCATTGGTTTAGCTCATACAGTTAAGTAAGAATTGAACTATCATTATGAAGGCCTTATTTAGACCTCTTAAAAACAATGCCAACTTGGGCTAGTGTTACACCACATCACAGACAAACGTGTTGCCTTTTTTTCTGCATCGTACTTCAGCAAGAGCAACAGTAATGATGTGTTCATGACTTAGCTGCACTAGGAACAGAAACTATACAAGGTGACAGGGTATATACAAAACCCGCCCATGTCTTAAGGGAAGGAATCCTTTTTGTAAGCCACCATACTATTTACTTTGTGGATTGTAGTAGTGAAGGAACGAAGACGAACCTCTTCTGAATTGGCTATGAATTGTGGTCCTGACTCTTCCCACTTTTCTGGCACTGCCAAATCTTTATCTGTGTATATCAGCAAGTCAAAGGCACCTGTAAGCAAGTGGGAATAAATTAACAGTAACGCATGCAGAAGAAGATGGTGTGTTTGAAGTTAAAGTGCATCTTCTAGAACTGGAGATATGTACCAAGGTTCTCAGGAGTTACACTGATACTAGTTAGTGAAAAGAAATAGTAGTTAAAACATGAAAACAAGTCCAGGTTATATTAATGTATAGCCATTTTAGTTTTCTCAAGCAAGTGTGATGTGAATTTTTTTAAACATGTTAAAACACTGGAGCTGAGGTCTATGTAAGACTTGATATGAACTCAATTGTTCTTTATACAAGCCTGTCCACAGCTAGTCACAAAATAATTTATTATTTATGAAAACTTGTATTCTTCAGAGTACACATACTAGTTTCATTAAGTTAGTTAAGCTACCCTGAGTTCTGTCCTGATGTCAGTCTAGCAAAATGCTGTCTCAAAAGTGCGATGGTATAATGACATGTAATAATTAAAAAGCCTCAGAAAATTAGCAGAAAATATTTTCTAAAGTGGAAAAGGTGTTGAGGTTTTCCAAAAGAAGTGTTTGATTTCTTCCGTGAAGTTAGCAATACTCACAGGTAGTTTCCAACAGTGGCAGAAAAGTTACTGTGGCAGTTATTTGTCTGATAACAGATCGAATTTCATCCTGAATAGCTTTCTGAGATTTTTCTCGAGGTGCGCTGGAAAAATAGGGAAACTCTGTTAAGAAAGCAAGCTTATACTATACCGACAGTTTTCTTTAAATACAGTTCTCTCTATTAAGCTCTGTTGGTCTGTTTGCTATAGGATTTTCTTATAGTAGTAACACTCTTTTAAGCCCTAGGTAGATAGGCTTAGAGAAGTTAAGTGATAGTTAGTTTCCCTTTATTGTTGTTTGTGAAGCTTCACAGTATTTGTAAGGAATGTTACATTTATTCTCAGTCCAGAATGGATGAAAACACTTTGGCATAACAACAGGAAAGCAACAGTTCTTTAGGGCATATGCCTGACACAGGATTTTACATACTTTGTTGAAGATTAAAAATCAAGTTTTGATCTGATGCTTTAAAAGAAAAATCATCAACACCTGAGGATTATGTATGCTTCAATCATATAATGACTGGTTTACAGACAGAGGGACTAGCAGTAAGAAAGGTAGTAGGTTTGGTAAGGTCTGAAGGAACATTTTCCATGCTCATACTGAGAAAAGGCTATCTCAGCTGCTCCGAGGAACCACAACAGCGTTGATGCACACGGCGTTTATCTTGTACCTGTAGAATTACTAGTATCGGGAGGAGCAGTTACCTCTCATCCTTTGCAGTTTTGTCACACTCTATGTCAAACTGCCACCGCTCCAAAACCTCGTTGTTTTCGATACTGGAGATGACCACCACCAGGCGCTGTTTTTTTTTCCCAGCCACTCTGAAAGAAGCCACAGCAGTTACTTGCAGTGCCAGACAGATAAGAAGCATCAGCAGAGACACAACAAGGAGGGCACAGCAACCTCCGGCCAGCGGCACTAGCTCGGCAGTTTAAAGAAGCCCCCTCAGCCGCCCGGCCCGGCCCGGCC